TATGTCCTTCATAGAATCCTTCAACATTCTTTCAATATCCTCTTTGGTCAGTCCACCAACAGTGGTACTCACCTCTGGACGAGCCTCTGTAGGAACATCTTCATGTGCCTCTTCCTCTTCCTTTTTCAGGTGGATCTTCACTACGCTCTTTACGAGCTTTCTTAAGAGTTCTTGGACTGTCTTCGTCATCCTTCACCAGAACTATCGCTTTCTTCGCTGCCGGCTTTGTATTGACCCAAGTACTGGTGACTTCCGAGCAATCCATGCTCCACTTCCATGGTCTCTGATTATACATGAGTTTAATTATGTTCTCCGTGGCCGGGTCCTTCTCAACAAAGTTCATTACTCTACTCTGCAGTAAATAGAAGATATAAACTTAGATATTTGACCGATTAAGTCGTCTAGAAAGTCTTCTCGCACGACTTAATTATAAGCTAGTATCAGTGGAGACGGTTTGTTTTGTATGGGATTACCATAATTAGCACCTAATTCCGGTAGAGTTGTGTACACCCTGACTTGGAGAGATTGTATAAACCCATCAATAGTTTAACAGCGCAAAATATCTTTGCCCTTCACAGAGTCCATCAGCACCTTAAACGTGACTCTCCCCCATGGATAATTCTCAAACCGTTCTAACTCCATCACTAGCCTTGCCAGACTAACCCGTGTAGGGGTTGAAAACTTTCTCCCTTCAATGTATCTAGTGAAGATGGCAAGGTACCCGAGCCGCTTGCGATCATCCTGAGACCAACCTTTGCCTCTCTCAAATGATGCTATTATCTGTTGAGTAGTTGGCCCAGCTTCGACATGAACTCCCAACAACTCCCAGAAAGAAGCCAACTCCTTTGTAACAACACAGTTTGGTGAAAACCTCAAAGGTTGTAGACCAACGAGACTCCACAGCTCATACTTCTTCTTTATGTCGAGCTGGAAACCGAGCATGTAGTGAACTAGCCTTGAAGCTCAATCAAATTCCAGCTGATGGAACTTGATGAAAACTCCCAACTTAGACTCTTTCAGCTCTGGGGGGGGGGGGGTTCTTGCCCTACTGTATGTATCCTACGGGGGAGTTCTAGAATATCCATTTTTCTGCAAAACAAGCAAATACAACCATCTCAAACACACAACCATCCAGTATAACATTTTAATTATAAGTTTGGAAGACTTTCCAGATGGCTTATAATTAAGTCGTATGGCAAGTCTTCCAGTTGAAAGACTTATATGTCGTCTGAAAGTTTTCCACCTGGAACACTTTCCAGACGACTTAATTATGAAAATAGAAGCGCGATGAGAACGACGGTGAGAACGATGTTTTATGTTCTTCTTTTCCTTAATCAATCACTCGACAGTAAGAGATATAACTTACCGGTGGTGGAGTTCAACGAAACGCCTCTAAGAGAAACGGAGCTAGAGTTTACAGAGAAACGGCACTAGGGTTTCCTCTCAGATCTGAAATAGAAGAAGCGACGGTGAGAACGGTGGTGACAACGACGATGATAATGGCAGAGAGATAACCGGCGGTGAGAACGATGGATTAGAGAGATTTGACAGAAATAGCCTTTGAAATCGCCTTTGAAATCACCTTTGAGAGAAACTGCGTTAGGGTTTTCTGAATTTCGCGAAAAAGTGATTAAAAACATCTTATATATGTCCGGTAAAAAATTCGGTTAGGTTTAAAAGTAAATTGGTAAAATCAAAGGTTCAGTCCGGTTTGGATGACTTATTAGTAAGTCGTCTGTTGAATACTATACATCAGACGACTTACTAGTAAGTCGTCTGCCTTAAATATATTTACCAGATGACTTAATAGTAAGTCGTCCAGACCCTAAACCCTAAATCCTAAACTAAATTGACTAAATTAACTAACTAACCAGGTTATAAAATCAAATTATACTTAAAAAGTGTTTAATATACACAGAAGTAAACACACTTAGGTAAATTTAAAATTTTTCAAAAAAACATTTATGCTTTCGAAAATCTAACCCCTAAGAAACACATACAATACTGCAACATATGTTGGCAAAACCTAAACCAAAGAATATCATGACTCACTACTTTCACTCATCTATGTTGAAAACAATTCAATTTTGTTATGTCTTAATTTATATCTTAAAACCTATGCTAATTACATGATTTCAATTTTCACTTATCAAAATATTTTTTTACAAAATTTTTAAATTATTTTTAAGAATAACTATACTAGACGACTTACATGAAAGTCGTCTGAACAGAATAGTTGCGGAGGTTAGAACGTAAAAAAACAAATTGGGTTTTTGTTTGCTCACAAGGAGCTGGTTGTACTTTCAATAGTCTTTTCGATTACTTTTGCATTGATTCAAGTTTGAGTTTACTTTTGCATTTGAAACCAAGTTTTGAGTCATATTTGGCAAATTCCCATGAAAAAGTCCTAAATTTCTTGAAAAAAGTGCATCAGCTAGAGAAAAAAATTATGAGATGGTTCAGTTACACATACAAAATCAAGCAAAAAAATAGCTTTAAAAGAAATGGAAGAAGAAAATAAAATCTTGTTAACAAATTTAAACTCCATCAACGTAGTAACATTTGTCAGTTTATCTGAGCTGAACAAGGAAGAATCTTACAAAAGAGAATTCAACAACAACAAGGTGAGACTACTCCAAATGTGTATGGACAACATTTGGTGATCTTAGAGGTGTGGGATCAAATATACCTGAATATTAGTATTGTAATTTATATTAATTTGTGTAATATTTCATGTTATTGTGTAGCATATATTTTGATGAAAATAGTATAATTGTATTATGTTTTTTTTAATTTATGCAAAATTTCCTAAATTTAGTATTATTTTTTCTGAACTAATATGTTTATTTTATATTTTTAATAAATTTGTGTGCATAATAATTTTAATTATTTTATTAATATGTGAAATTAATTTTATAAAATCAAATATTATAATAGTTAGATGCTAATATAAAAATAATATAAAAGAGTGTTATGTACATAATCATTAAACTTATATAAATAGAAAGACTAAAGGTGAAAAGTGAATACTCCCTCCGTTCCATAATGTAAGATGTTCTAGAAAAAATTAATGTTTCAAAATATAAGATGTTTTGATATTTTTAAGATACTTTAACTTTATAGAAAACCGGTTAACCAATAGTATTTTAGTTTATCATTTATGATTGGTTAATTTATTTTAAATTTATACTATCAATGATGTTATCTTTTAAAAAGTTAAATTTCTTAATTCTTGTGCTTTGGATAAAACATCCTATATTGTGGAACGGAGAGAGTAGTATTTAAAGAGATCAAAAGTGATCCTTTATATTTGAAGTGTCACTATTCACCTTCTTTAAAAAATAAAGAGATAAAAGATGGTTGAAATGCAAAATCTTATAAAAAATAAATGGATAAATGGTGGGTTGGAGATACTCTAAGAGCATCTCCAACCCCACTCCAAAACCCACTCCAAACTCTATTTTGCAGTAAAATCATCTCCAACCCTACTTCAAAACTCACTCCAAAATGGAGTAACAAACATGATTACTCCAAATATGGAGTAAACCAACTCATTACTCCAAAATGGAGTTGAACTTTTTTATTTATCAAATAATCCTCCACATTTATATATGTTTCATTTTTAATAAAATATTATTATAAATAAGTACTATATATATTATAAAATTTACTGTTATATTTCTTAATTATATAAATAGCCTCATTTTTAATAAAATATTATTATAGATAAGTATATTAATATTATTTTACTATATATTAGAAAATTTACTGTTAATATTTCTTAATTATATAAACAGCCTCGTCTTTAATAAAAATATTATTATAAATAAGTATATTAATATTATTTTACTATATATATTATAAAATTTATTGTTAATATTTTTTAATTATATATTATAACCATCTGATGAACTCTTTTATACAACATAATATATAATATAAAACATAGAAGATCATACATATAGAAAATGAAAGATAAGCACCATACAAAAGAAATAACATAAAATAAAACTTACAACAAATATAATTGCTTAATAATCCGATAAATCATTTTCGGATCCATTAAAATTATTAAAATAATCCGATAAAATATTATTAAATTCTTACATAACATGATAATAGAAGATGATTGTGATCTCGAGGTGCCA